CCGGAATCGAACCTGGGACCCTTGAGACCGCAGGTCAATGCTCTATCCACTGAGCCAAACCGGTTAGGGCATTTTCCCTGTTCTTGATGATGTTGTGTGTATTAATGTATCTTTCCTTTTTATTGTGGAGTAGTATTCCATTCTATTAATATACTAAATTATTCATTTTTCTGTTGGTGGAATTTGGGTTGAGTATAGTTTTGAGGTATTATGAATAAATCTGTTGTGAACGTTCTCATACAAGTCTTTTTGTGTCATGGAGTTTGAGTCATTTGAATGCACTGAGACAAATAAATTACTAGAATGTGTATAATATGAGATTAACTTAACTTCTTTCTGTTAAGTGCTTGGAAAAAAAATAAATCAGGTAGGGACCTAGAGCATGATGTAGCTTAATCTCTTTCTTATTGAAAAATATTTGAGAATGAACTAAAAAATTAGAGAAGATAGATGACTAGGGCATAACTGGGTATTTATTCCCAGGAGAAAGAAGAGAAAGTTCAGCATTCCTGAGGCAGGTGTGTGCTTGGCATATTTCCGTGTGGGTGAGCAAGGTGCAGGAATACTGGCATCATGGAAGAAAGAGCAAGAAAAGAGTCAAGGGTGTGAACAGTATTTATTTTTTCTTCACCAGAAAAGAAGATGAATGGATTCACCATGTTACAGTTGCCAGCAACAAAATAATTGCTTTAAGTATATTGAGTTCTCTCTGTTTCAGCACCTTGCTTATAGTCCATTGCATTTATTATTTTTTATAATTCTCACAATTCTAGGTGAGGTATTGGTACTTATCCCTACTTTGCGGATTAGAAAATTAAAGCTTAAGTTATTAAGTACATTAGCCTTTGTCAATATTTTTTTGTAAGTGGAGAAGTTGATCATGATTTTATATAACAGTACTTTTTTTTTTTTTAAGTGAGCAGAGGGAAGAATTCTGGGCTGTCTTTCAGGGTCACATGTGGCATTTATTGGGCAAGTTATTTAACTTTTCTTACTATCAGTTTACTCCTCTGTCATATGGATGGTTTGTAATCTTGTGCTCCTTAATGCTTGATGAGTCTCATCTGTGAGAGCATAAGAAGCCTGATTATCAAAGTGAAATAATATGGTGCCGATAAATGTTAAGGGATACTTCACATACGGAACATTTTAACATACAGAGGAAGGTAATAAAGCTAGCAATAATGAAAAAATGTTGTCTTTAATATTTTAAACTATTTGAAGTCACTGTGGAGGCTAAAATGTATCTACATATTTTGGCTATTTCAGGCAAGTGGCAAAGATGTCTTTGGTAATCATATTTAGGTAAAACTGTTCAAGGCAGTAAGATTTCTGTCCTGTTGCTCTTTCCTGTGGTTGGTTGATGGTACCAGCAACGCGTGCATCTATTTTCCTATTTTTCCTGCCTCATCTCATTTTCCACTTCATATCCTGTCTTTAAAAATTCTTCTGCTTAGGTAAGAGACTTATATGAAGATTATCTAGTTCATAATGGAGATTGCTTTATAGCACACAATGGAAAATTTTGTAAGAAAATAGAAATTTTTAGTGGGAAAAATCTGACTATAAATTGACAACAGAATCATATCTTTTAGCCAAAATTTAGACCTGTAATATATGACTACAACTTTAAGCTCACATTAAGAGAATCTATGAGGAAAACTGGATGTAGACAAACAGAATTAAATATTTTCTAAAATAATTATTTCAAGTAAATAAAAAATGGAAGACTTGGAAATGGTTTAATGGATAAAATGCATTAAGTTGTTCATTAGAATCTTTCTGCAAAAGATTTTTGCATTTAGAATTTATTACTATTAGCATACTTCTGTGTAAAATATTTATACTTAAGGCATCATCCACAACATCAAAAGAGCAGAGTTGGAATATTTCATTATCAGTTGGATTTTTATTTGCATCTGGATTTGCTTTTGGATCCTCACAGAAGTGGTTTCTATTTGCTATCTTGAAATCCTTAAGGCTGATTTATGAGCTTAAACTCATTGGTTTAAATGAGTTTACAATGGCATGTATGGTGAGGGGTATTATTTAACATTTTCTGACATGCAAACTGTCTTGAATGTTTTTGAGGGGGAGAGGAGTTGTGACTTGGTGGGCAAGCCCATTTTCATTACTTTAATTGTGCGATTTATTAGGATTTTAAGCTTTTTATAAATGTTTTAGTGTTATAGGACAGAATTAAAAGGATTTAGCATAAAAGGAGTTTAACAAAAGGACTTTGCAACAGGATTGCAGTAGTTTTTATATTTGATGGATTTGGCTAGCTGGTTTTCATTTCAATCACCATGCTGCATTCTGTTAAATGCTGTAGAACAGGTGTGTGTAGCGTCATTCTCTCTATTGTACATGCAAATAAACACAATTTTATATATAAAAAGTTAATCCTCTACAATTTGGAGGATTACAGTATGGGAGAGTGATGGCTCCATTAGGCATCATGGAGAGTACATGCTACTATTTATACTGCATGAAAAATCAGGTTAATAGCTACAGTGTTCATGAGATTGTAGAATTTTTATGCTAACACTTTAAAAATTGTATTTATTCAAACTATCCTCAATGAGATTATTTAAAGCAGAGTTAAGGTTTTGCTGTATAGTTTTCCCTCTCCCTTCTCTCCCTTCTCTATTAGGTGGCTGATCTTCTATAGAGTAACGTTTGTGGTACTAATTGATCAGGTCAGGTCAGGTCAGCTAAACCAATGGAGTTCTTGAATTCAGATTTGAGAAACCCAAAACAATCAAACCATTCTTGCCAGTATTATTTGCATTTTAAGGCCATGATGTTTCATTCGTCAACATGTCAAAGTGGTGTGTTGAATCCAGGTACAAGCTGTGAAGACCTTGCCGACACCAGGGGAAGCAGAAGGAAAATAGCTATTGTTAAAGGTGGAGGTGAAATAGGTAGGAGTGAAGAGCTGGGCTTGTAGAGATGAAGTTCAGTCATAATTAATTTAGAACATAAATATTGTGGACTTTGGACCAGTTACTTTTTAACTCATGCTTCGTTCAAGGCATATTGTTAATTGTGAAATCGGATTTGTTTTGAAGTGGTAACAGCATACAATCCATAGTTATTAATGATTTTTAAAGACTTAAACACTGATTGCTATAGTTCCTAAAAAGTTTAAATAGTTATAAAGAACTTTATTAATAAACATTAATTATGTTTTTAGTTTGATCTTTATCATATTCTGGTGTTGATAATAGAGTCTGCCAAGGGATGATACAACTTGCCCTAACTTATTTTGTATAACTACTATATTTACAATTTAAAAGTATTTTTATTATGTCATGTCACAGTCTAAATATGTAACCATTAAGGTGCCTCCTCAGTATTAAAACCTTTTTTTTTTTTACAGAGAGGAAGGGAGAGAGATAGAGAGTTAGAAACATCGATCAGCTGCCTCCTGCACACCTCCTACTGGGGATGTGCCCGCAACCAAAGTACATGCCCTTGACCGGGATCGAACCTGGGACCTTTCAGTCCCCAGGCCAACACTCTATCCACTGAGCCAAATCGGTCAGGAAAAACCTTTTAATCTTTGGAGGGATCCATTGAAATGGAATATTACTGAGGAGACAGAAAATATTGTTTAAAAAGTGTTAAAGTTCCCTGTCTCTCCCAAATATCTTCATCTTAATTCCCTAAGAAATATATCCCTATTTTGAAATTGTTGTTTATCTTTATGAGTTTATGTATTCCACACTTAATATAACAAAGTATGTATGTATGTATCTAACCACACATATAACTTATTTCTACCTTTTCCAAAAATTTGTAGTAAAATTGTAAAAATTGCCTAACAAAATTTACCATCTCGACAAATTTTAACTGTACTGTTTTGTAGTACTAATACATTCACAGATCTCTAGAACTTTTTCTGCTTATAAAACTGCAACTTTGTACCCATTGAACAGCCCTCTCCATTTCTCCCTCCACCCCAGTCCTAGTAACAGCCTTTCACTTTCTGTTTCTATGAGTTTGACTACAAGCTTCACATAAGTGGAATAATAGAGTATTTGTCTTTTTTATCACTTATTTCACTTAGCGTAATGTTCTCAAGATTCATCCATGTGTAGCCATGTGACAAGATCTCCTCCTCCTCCTTCCCCTCTCTGCCTGGATTTAGATACATTTGCATTTCATGACTTCATTTTTCTGCTGGTTGCTGCTATTATATTGGTTTCATGTCCTGTAATATTGTTGAGTTCACTTATTATTATTATCCTGTCTGGGACATCCAGTATAGGGTTGAATGGGAGCAGTTACATTGGGCATCCTTGTGTTATTGCTGATTTTAATGGAAATGCTCTGAAGCATTACCAATGATACTTGTAGGTCTTTTGTAGATAATTATTATTGGGATAAGAAAATTTTTTGCTGCTTATTTTGTTATTATCATGACTGCCTGTATAATTTAATTGAATGCTTTTTCTGCATCTGCTGAAACAGTGGCTCCCGCCACTGCTGCTGTGCTGGCCAACAATGTTAATTGGTTTTATAATGTAAAATTATTACTATTACTTGGGTAAATCCGACTTGGTTATAAGATTTTACTTTTTCTAATACATTGATATTTAGCTTAACATTTTTAAAGGATATTTGCATTTATGTGTTTTGAGAATGGCCTATAATTTTATAATTTCCCTTTCCTGACTTACCTTTATTTAGTTTTGACATCAAGATCATACTATTCCTGGGTAATTAGTTGGTAGAGTTGGGGGTGATTTTTTGAGCTCCTGGAGAATGTGTATAAGATTTAAGTTTATGCCAATTAAAAGAAAATATATTTAATTTTAAAAAATAGTTATAGGTTTATTTATACATTTGCTAGAAACTAGCATATAAATTATATCAATTTATAATGAATGGTTTGGTATCTCTTTGGCTGTAAATATTCTGAGAGCATGAAAATAATGGGCATTATGTAAGAATACTTCTCAAAATTTTGTTTTACATTTTATATTCCTTATCAGGTACTCAAAAGTGTGACAGCTTTGCAGAAAAAAGGCCCCTTCTTGGTGTTTGTAAGAGCACTGGATCTTCTGGGTAAGGAAATTTTAAAAATTCTTTGAACCATTTATTAAAAATTTATATTATGATTTCAGAGGGAAAACTTTGATGACTCATTTTCCCAATGATTTTAAGATGACTACTGTATTTTCAGTTAGTGCATCTCCTCAACTCGAACTCCTAACTGCAAGGAAAGCTAGGAAATGATACTAGTTTTGTTAGTAAGAAAGGTGATTAAAACGGGTATTAGCCTTGGCATCCGGGAGTCCCTGTCACATGCTTTTAGCTCATAGCGTACGCTTTAGATTATGGATGCAGTGGAGAAGGGAAGAGTGTGTTAATAGTATAGCATGATTAGATTTTAGAGTCTTAAATTGTGGGGGTTGAACTTGGCACAGATACAAAAGTATGAAATTTGGGGGTTGAACTTGGCACAGATTTACAGTGTACTTAGCACTATGTCAGGTATGGATAAAGATACAAAAGTATGAAAACCCAATTCCTTGTCCCAAACACTTAAGGATATAGCTGGGAAAAAAAGTATAGCACACAGAAAATAATTATGAAATAACTAGAGGCCAAGACGCCTTGGAGGATGTCCACCTGCCAGCTTAGGTTCGCTCCCCAGGGGATTGGGCCTAAGCTGGCAGTCAGACATCCCTCTGGCAGCACGGGGAGTGGGCCTAAGCTGCAATCGGACATCCTTAGTGCTGCTGAGGAGGCGGGAGAGGCTCCCGCCACTGCTGCTGTGCTGGCCAGCCATGAGCCAGCTCCTGTGGAAGCGCACTGACCACCAGGGGCAGCTCCTGCGTTGAGCGTCTGCCTTCTGGCGGTCAGTGCATGTCATAGCGACTGGTCATTCCCTGTCATTCCATTAGGATCAATTTGCCTATTACTCTTTTGTTATATAGGATTATGTATAAAAGGAATTCAGTGCAAGTAGAGATCAGTGTGTGTGTGGAGTAAGTGGAGAAGGCCTCATGAAGAAGGTGCAGCTTGTGCTGGATCTAAAAGAATGGGAGGTTTGCCAATACATGTAGAAGAGTAAGGACTTCCAAAGTAGTTATAAAGCTATAGCAGTAGAACAGAAACTGGTATAAATACATTTAAGAATGATGGAAGTTTATGATTTAGGACTAAGGTTATCTGCAAAACAGGCAGAAACAACCGTTTCAGTGCTCTGGAACTCAACCAGTGGTTTAAGTGGTAACAGTGGGAATCTGTAGCATTCATTCCTGGACCTGCTCTCCTCACACTCCACCCATCCTCCTTCTAATTTGATTGATTCTTCAAGAGTAGGGAAGATCACGAGATGGGCACTTTCCCTGCTGTCGTGGGAAGATGCACATTCAACTTGGAACTGTAGGGGTTGCCAGCCCGGGAGCGTTGTCCATGGTACAGTTTGGTCTAGGGGGTGTATGACTTGTGAGGGCAGTGGCTTCATGTATGTGCAGAGGATCCATGAGAGGGTCCAGGGAGAATGAAAATCTCGGGAGACTTGAAAATGTTCTGAATGTTGAATGTGCTCCCCTATCCACACATAGATTCTTTTGGAAAGGATGACAGCCTATGTTGACTTAGAGTATTCGAGCAAATTCTCTGTTGAATCATCAGCTAATACTAAGGTATATGGACAGATGGGTAACCCCAGGAAACCAGACTTTAAAATAAAAGCAAGATTTAAAGTAAAACTTCACATTATGTAGGAAGACAGATGCCAGAGATGTTATACCATATTATATAGAATGTTTAATTTTCAACATAAAATTATGACACATGCCAAGAAACAGGAAAATGTGATATATTGAAGAAACAAGGAAATAGAAGCTGTTCCTGATTGTCTCCACGGTTAAATTCTACAGACAAGGATTTTTAAAGCAGCTGTTATAAGTATATTCTAAGAACTAAATGAGCCATGTGTCTAGAATTAAAAAGTATGATAACGATGAGTCAACAAATAGGGGGTCTCAATAGGGAGTTAGAAACTATAGAAAAACCAAATGGAAATTCTGGTGTTGAAGAGATAGAAAAAATGAAATACTAAACTTTCTAGAGGAACTCAACACCATATTCAAGTCAGCAGAATAACCAGGGAACTGATGTGTTGATGAGGGAGCTGAAAGAGAATAGGAACCACAGAGGAGGATGAGCTATGTGGTGACGGGGAAACTCAATTGATTTCACTTTTCCTGATGTTTATTTAACCCTCTGTAATTCAGGTGCAGGAAGGCCTGTGGAAGCCCTTCTAAAAGATGTTTGTGGAAGACACTCAGCCACCTGCTGAGTTTGGCTTGTAGTTTTTGAAAGATGTTCTGTTTCTTATCAACTCTGCTAGCTGTAAGATTAAGGAGATTGTTTTTATTTCTGTAGGATTCATTTATTGAGATATCACTTTATCAAAAAGCTAGAGGCCTGGTGCATGAATTCGTGCACGGGTGGGTTCCCTCGCCTGGCCAGCTATCGGGGCCAATCAGAGCCATTTCACCCAGTCCTGATTGGGGCCGATGGGGTCGGCTGGCCGGGGAGGGACCGCAGGAGGGCTCCAGGGTGTGTCCGGCCCGTCTCACCCAGTCCCGATCAGCCGGACCTCAGCAGCAAGCTAACCTGCCTATTGGAGTGTCTGCCCCCTCGTGGTCATAGTGACTGGTCGAGTGGTCGACCGATCGGTTGGACACTTAGCATGTTAGACTTTTATATATATAGACTAGAGGCCGGATGCACGAAATACGTGCAAGGGGCTTGGCCCATCGCAGCCCTGGCTGCCTCACAGCCCTGGCTGCCTCGTGGCCCCCTGGCCCCGCCCACTGGTCATTCTGGAAGGTCGGTCTGCCATCTGGTCTAATGAGCACATTAGCTCTTTATTACATAGGACAAGCTAGCATAGTGAGGGTAAGGTGATGATATATAGTTGGTGATGAGATAATTTACTGAATGATGAATTTGTTGGTATGTGGGTTATATTAGGGTTCTCCAGAGAACCAATGGGATGTGAGAGGTAGGTGTGTGTGTGTGTGTGTGTGTGTGTGTGTAGAGTGAGAGTAAGAGATTCTAAGAAATTGGCTCACATAACTGTCAAGTCTGGTAAGCCCAAAATCTGGGAGAAGAATAGCAGTCCTAGCCTGGAGGCAGAATTCCCTGTTCCTCCAAGAAGGTGTTAAAAAGAATTATTAAAGCTTTCAACTGATTGGATGAGCCCCACTCACATGATAGAATAATATTTGACCAAATCTGGTTATTGTGGCTTTGCCAAGTTGACAAATAAAATTAATCTGCACAGGAGCAATGAATCTAGTCTTGATTTAAAATAGCATTTACCTACTTGAAAAAATGTATTGTAGATATTCATTTTCTTTTAAAAAATATATTTTATTGATTTTTTACAGAGAGGAAGGGAGAGGGAGAGGGATAGAGTGTTAGAAACATCGATGAGAGAGAAACATCGATTTAGCTGCCTACCTGCACACTCCCTACTGGGGTTGTGCCCGCAACCAAGGTACATGCCCTTGACCGGAATTGAACCTGGGACCTTTCAGTCCACAGGCCGATGCTCTATCCACTGAGCCAAACCAGTTAGGGCGATATTCATGTTCTTTCTCCCATTTTTGCTCCTTAATTTATGTCATAGAAGGGGAATCATTCTGGCAATAGACTTCTCTATGTCTGTATTACTTGGTGGGCTGTTTTAAATAATGATAATTGATAAATAACATGGCAAAGAAACTTTTAAATTTATACGTCACTTCATGCACTCTAAGTCCTAGGGGAAGGTATCTTGTTATTACTGTATATGTATAAGCTCTCTATATTTTTTCTCTTTTGGTTTATACCTTTCTCTCTAATGCAAAAGGCTGCTGGAAAATACTCGTTTTGTTTTCACTTATTTGCTGAACTGATTATGTAGCATCTTTGTCAGAATGTTTACAGTCACAGGAAGGACATTTTCATAGAGGACTGTGTTCTGTTTCTTGTAAGTGTCATATTGCAGTCGTGAATAGAATTTTCTCTCTAATCTGAGCAAGCGATCTGTGAGTATGTATATATTTTAAGTGTTATTCTAAGTGTTAGCAGTAGGTTGGCAGATGGTGATGTCAAATACACAAGACACTTTTCAGTAACTTTAAAGTTGACTGTAATAGTAGAGAAATCTAGTTATAGGGGAATTCTTTTAGAATCTGTTTCCCAATTCCTGGGATTAAAAAAAAAATGTTTTAACTGAGTCTTTTTTTTTTTTTATGAGGCATGTATTTGTTGACTATGCTAATATAGCACAGGGACTGGAAGGCAAATGTTCAATGCCTGCTATGTACTAGGTCTGTTAAATATTTTCCATTATGTAACATCATTTAATCCAGAAACAAGCCTGCGAAAGAGATTGTATTATCCTCATTTTATACACGAGGAAACGGATGCTAAGGGAGGTTCAGGCCCAGTTAGTTGTGGACCCAGGCCTTTGCCTCACTTGCCAGTCTCCAGATTTTGAGAAAACTTCTAAATCTAAGGAACCGTATATACTGAGCCAGGTTGTTGACATCTTCAAAGCTAGTAAGACCTCCTTCCCCCTTTGGAGAGGTACAGGACATATCATTTGCCATCTATTTCCCTGGCAAATGCTTAATTGAGTACCTGGTGCTTTAGACATTGTCAGTTGCTTATATTTATAATTAACATTGCTTCTTAAATTATTCTTGGGTAAATACAAAATTTTTTTTGTAATACATTTTCATTTTTATAAATTTATAGTGCCTTTTCAAGGAAGTGGGAGTTGCTATGAAAGTAATCCGAGTTCTTCCTCATATTTTATCCTTTAGCTATGAACGTATTATGCTTTAGCCCACAATTTAAAAATAATACTGGCTGTAATTGCATTCATGATAGTGATGTGTTCTTTCTTTCTTTTGTGTGTGTATGTGTGTTTGTGTCTATCTGTGTATGTGTGTAAGAGGCAATTCCATAATCATTCCAGATAAGCTATGTAAGGTCTTGGAGGGAGATAATGTTTACTGTGCTACTGATCCAAGGATTAAATCAGTGCCTTG